CTACTCTACTCTACTCTACTCTACTCAGAGCCTGTTTCACCTCACCATTCCCTCCCTCTCTTTCTGCTATTTTATCATGTGACAGGTGCAAATTCGATACTCAAGTGAAAACCGTTCATGTCCACCTTTCTATTGCTGCCTCTTGGAATGAACAGAACCTTATTCAGTCATAATATTGTTTTATTATTTACTTTATAGTATTTAGCATGATGTATTACCAAGTGAAACTTTACCTTTTAGGACTTCTGTTTAAGATTTGGCTTTCGAGACATGGCTATAAGCATGAACATGATTACTATCAATGAGTGTTGTTTTATTTTAATAGTGGTTTCAAGGTGCGACATTCAGCCCTGTTCAGCTAATGAAGGAAAACAAAACTGTGTGTGGATTCATGCTCAGGGAGTTGATTGACAACCATGAGTTACTTCATGAAGCAATGAAACATTTGTTTCAGTTTTACAGTGAAGGGAAGATCAAACCTGTCATTGATCAGGTGTTTGCTTTGGAAGAGGTTAGTGCTGTAGCAATCAAGGCTTGATTTGATGTGTTTCACATTTACAAATACTATCAGGCTCTCTACATGCATTGCAGCTCCGTGTTGCAAGATACCTTTCCAGTTCTCTGCCTGCAGTGTTGCAATATAACTTCCCAGCTCTCTGCCTGCAGTGTTGCAATATAACTTTCCAGCTCTCTGCCTGCAGTGTTGCAAGATAACTTTCCAACTCTCTGCCTGCAGTGTTGCAAGTTAACTTTCCAGCTCTCTGCCTGCAGTGTTGCAAGATTACTTTCCAGCTCTCTGCACCCTATGATACCTATAGTAGTCTTTGATTTGTTGCAAAGTAAAGTCAGCATGCAATTGCTCAGTCAAGGTTAAGTTTCACATAGAGTTTAAATATTTCTTACCTGCTTTCTTTCTGGAAATGGTTTGGGCATGGAGGAATGACAAAATGGTTTTGCAAAATATTTTCTACACAGCTTTCCAGCTGTGAGGCAGTTATAAGAAGAGACTGTCAACAAAACAATATTCTTCTGCCTTCACAAAGTCCTTTACAGAATATAGTTTTAGCCTGAGTTCTTCTTCATTAAGTGGAGGAATCTGGCAGCCCATAACTGATGAAGGTTTTTTTTGGTTTCAGGTTGGAAAGGCCATGCAGCGCATTCACGAACGTAAGAATGTTGGTAAAATAATTTTATCACCCATGAAGGAACCTGAACCTGAACCTGAGCCTGAACCTGAGCCTGTTGCTGCACCACCAGCGGAACTTTCGGTCACAAAGGTATACTTCATGTAGTCATGAATAGTAAGCTGTTGCTCTTTTCTGTTTGTTAACAACAACAACAACAACAACAACAACAACATCTTATTACAACATATTTGGTATGTTTAATATATGTAGTGCGTTTCAGATAAGGTAATTGTTATAACCTTGTTTTAATGAGACTGGAGGCCAAATGAACTGTTAGGTTTTCAAGTTAGCCTCCAGGCTTACTATGTCGAATTGTAGGACAAGAGAGATGAAGGAAGAATTTACAGTTTACAGTTTAGTTAAGGGAGAACACAAAACAAAAAATAACTCATTCAGATATTAGCTGACAGTAACGTTTCCTAGTTCCTGTGCGGCTTTCTCCCAGGCCTTCACGGTCAATTCATTTCGGTGACGTATCCGAGACAAACGGCCCAGAGTGCGCCCCCGGACCACGTGACCTGAAAACGATTGAACACGGCGAAATGTTGAGAGCTAGAAACTAGCAAACAGTAACGTACGTTTTGGTTTTAACTTTTGCAGGAAGAGGAAGCGAAAACAGAAGAGAAGGAAGTAGAAGAAAAAACAGAAGGAGAAAAAGAGGAAACTAAAGCTGACGAGGAGAAGAAGGAAGAGGCTGCAGCCTAGTGACTGGTAGGTCTTGTTAACCTGTTGTGAAAATGTGTCTTCTCCTTGCAGGTCTCTGTCCATTTCCTATGCTACCAGTTAGCAGCATTTGGTTATACCTAATTAATGCAGTCTTGAACAAGTCGTAATATTATTTTAGGTCTTCGAAACGTCCTTGAATTGTAAAGTTTTCCCAGATGTCATCTTTTGATCAAGATAGTTCCCGGATAGTGAGAGTTCAAAATGTTAATTCTCTTAGTCAGATCTTGTTATGGTCATTTGTCTAACTTGTCATAGAGCGGTTTTCAATTGAGTATCGAAAGTAATCATGCAATTACTTTGGTTTTAGTATTATTTCGGTTTGAGATTGGCTGAGAAGTCTAATTGTTAAGTAATAGGTTTGATTTTGACTTGAAAACCGCTGTAAAACCTAAGTTATTACTGTGGCCAGTCACAGTGATGCAGACAATCCAATGAACCAATAAAAACTCGAAACAAATACATGTTGCTGAGGCGAAGTGCGGGAAAACGAGTCGCGATAGGCTTTTATTTCACTTGTGACTGGATGACAAAGTGACGCAATTTTCTATGTGGACTGCCTTGTGACTGGACAGACTGTTCTCTTGGGAGGGGTGTTGGCCTAAGGAAGGGGTCTGTTAACAGAGGTTCTACTTTTAAACTTAAAAAGCTAAAAGAAACACAAGGTTTTGTTTCATTGCAGGTTGAATAATTCTCTGACACTTGCTTGGTAGTGAGCATTTAGTGGACATATGATGTTTGTAAGCAAGCCTGGTAAAATCATGGTAAAACGTCAACATTTACTACCCCCTGAATCGCTTTTGAGGGACTAGTGAATTGGTACAAGAATTTAATACATGTAGACTTTGCTTTGCAAGTTGACAAATGATTGATGTAGTACAAAGGTCTTTCAAACTGAAGATATCTGCTACTTTTTACTCCGGAAAGTTGGTAAATTAGTTATTTAGGTTAAGTTCTATAGTTAGGTTGGTTTCTTTACATAGTACAGTCTTAGGATGACAAACAAAACTCTTTTAGGCTCTGATACTACTGATAGCATTCGGAAGTTGCTCTGTATGGGCTGTCATAGACAATCAGGGCTGAGCTTTAAGCGCGGGAAAGTGGCCTCTCTTTTTCAGTTGACTGGTTGTGTTAAAGTCACCTTTCTTCTGATTGGCTAGTTTTTGAACAACCAGGCACTAGACGTTTTTCCGCGTGAATAAAAAGCCATCTTTATTCGCGCACTCCATTCGTTTCCCTTGGCACAGACGTCGGAGAATTCGCGCCAAAAAAATACGATGTTGATGACGTAGTAATACAAAGGCTCGCTTCCATGTTCGTGTGTGAGGAGCAGCGATTCAGAGACACCGCACGTATCACTTGTGTGAATTTTTTTGGGCCGAATTTCAAACAAATCTTTCGCAGGGTTTGAATCGAGTGCGTGATCTGTGAAGATGGATGTTTCTTCAGTTATGATAACAAAAAGTCAAGTTCTGGCTCTCTCTCTGTCACACAACGCTAGGGAGAGAGAGATTCCCTTCCTAGAGTGCAGCGTTGCGTGGCAGAGAGAGTCAGAACTGGACTAGATAACTAGTGGTTTTGGTAGGTTTTAGTTTATGGCAGTCAGCCTCCCCTTCGGTTAATATATCGCGCGGCAAAAGTGTCTCGCGCGTGCGAAGAACAGAGACTGGTCACAAGCCATTAATTGACGATGTGCTTCAGTCCTAAAGACTGACAACAAGAGATTTAGAGAGTTTTCGTTTAGATTTTTAAAATTTCGTGGAAATGAAGAGCTAGCGAAGAGGGAAATATTAAGTTTGCTAGGTAGCCGAGCTGTTACACACTCTCTTATGGTGGTTACAGCTTTGAACCGACTAATTATTCATATTGAACTGAGATAAAAGTTAAATTCCAAGTTAGAGGTTGATCAAGGTTTGGGATAACTGGACTTGTATCAGGCTTCTTTGCTTGTGAGGTGATGAAAGTTGACAAATTACAGAGTTAAATTTAAAATGGGACATAATATAGTACCAAGTTTCTGTTGTTGTGATATTAAGTTCGGCAAACGCAAAACCAAGGTAAGATACCGAAGTAAAATGTCTCGGTCTTTGATAAAGGAACCAGTAAATTATTAGTTACAGAAAAGTGTTAGGAATTGGTTAACAGATTACGAGCACTCCTTGTTTTTGACAGTGCGTTAGGTGAGAGAATATAGAAAAATAAAAACAAAAAAACGGCCGAACAAAAATGACCGCACGACAAAGGAAAAAGAAGGACCCTATATCCAAACTGGTTGAAGATTAAAACTTTCAGAAACGATTAATACGCGCCTTTAAGAAAACGCCGCGAGATGAAGTTTGGACAAACCCTCCAACTCTTTCGAACTCTATGTCTATGTTGCAGCTTGTATGAAATCAAGGCTACAGTTTAGTTTTTCAGTTGGAGAACTGAGAACTGAAGGTAAACGAAGAGTTCGCTTTGTGTGCTCGGTTAATGGAAGACAGACTGGTCAATAAAATTCGTTGGGGGTTTTGCGATACCGAACTATTTCATAAGTTTTTTTTGCTTAATAATAAAACTTTTTGCAGACTTGTGCTGTTACGTAAATTAAGATATATAATGAGATATATTTTTGTCGTTTAATTGAGAAGGCGTCGCTAATATAAGTGTTTGTTTTCACCAACAACAGTTGATTTATATCAAAAACTATAATTATTACATGATAACTATTAAATATGATTTCTCTTTATGAGATTCGAATAACAAAGGAAGGATTAAACAATAAAGATTTGAATGATAGACTTCAGTCTCAATTGAACGACGCATACCATCAAATGCCGTAACATTCCGATAGTAAGTCCTGGAGTTATATTTTAATTGTAGTGGATTTTACCGGGAAAGGGGGGGGGGGTCTATTTCAATTTGGTTTATCGTCGGAAGGAATTTTGCGTTTTGAAAAGGACCGGCTTGTATTTAGACCCCCGTCCGCACAACGCGGGAGAAATTTCAAAACGCAGCTTCATTTCTACGGTCAGGCCTACCGTCCGCACTAATCCGGCACGAAAACGAAGTTTTTCGATTACGTTCTTCGAACCAGAAGGAATTTGAAAACGCCGGCTTTGCGTTTTAGTTTGCATTTTGCTTGCATTTTGAAAACGGAGCTTTTCGAAAACGATGGCGTCACAATAATCATGTGATTTTCCTCAAACACAAATCCAAAATGACCGCTGACTGTTGCGTTTTCAAATTTCTCCAACGTAGTGTGAACTGGCCCTTAGAAGAGACTTGGCGCCTGATGTAAAAAAAGAAAACGCAAAAAATTATATTGTATGTTACAACTCTAAACATAAAATAACCGTTGTGAAATACAAAACTGTCCCGCGACCATCATGAGACCAACATAAAGGTCTGAAATATGCTGATCACGTTACATACAAAACTACACGAGCAGCAGGGGACTTGCAAGTGGAAAGAAATTTGATTGTTCTGTAAGAGCTAACACTAAACAAAATCCCAGACATTCCGAAGCGGCCTAGCATAACAAGGAGTATTTCCAACTTATTAATATAAACAAGATTGCTTGCCCAAATTGAATTTGCTGTTGCTGGTTCAACAATGTTATCAACCTAAACTGTATTTTTAACGTCCTAAAAACACTCTCAGTGCCTGTTGTCTAGTTTAGAGAGCTTTCTGTCTGAAAGGGAGTTAGGCTCGCAATTACCAGCCGCTGTTCGAGAAAGGAACCTGCCCTTCTGAGTAAAATGTTAGTAAAGAGTTAATCCATTGACCACGGAGAAAGCAGTCCCAGCGAACTGGCTTTCGGGCCAAACGATCGCAATATTCGCAACCTGGACTCGATGAAAACCCAGGAAACATATTGTTCTTGAACACTTGGCTCGGGGCATTGTTGAGACCTGATTGTTGGCATTTTCGGAGATGGTATAGTAGAGGTGCTGTTGTTCCCATGACAACTATTTTAGGTCTCTAGGACACTTACATTTATCACCGTGAAACTGTGAAATCTAACGTTTTGAGCGTTAGTCTGACGAAGAACTGACGTCCGAAACGACAGCTTCACAAACTCGTTACGGCTGTCAACTTCAAATTGATTATTGCTTTGTGTTCCACTCTACCGCCAACATCGTCCAACAGTTTGCTAGGTAATCAAATGATTTCGAGTGCAATTTGGGATAATACAAGCAGGTTTTTGAATTGTAGGTCTGATATTAGGTCTACTGGACCCTGGCGGATTTTTCGACTCCGACAATTAATGAATGGTGCCTTCTTTGCTGGAATTGTTAGCGCCATTAACCAACGCAACACTGACATAATCAGAGAAGACTCGAGTCCCCCCACCTCCCACCGGCGAATTCAGAAATAGGTTAGAAATCGCATCATCACTTTCGCGAGCTGGAGCTGGGTAGGAGTGAGAATCGTAGTGCGCGCGAAAGGGCCCGTGAGCAACAGAGTCATAGGGCTGTCGGCTTCTGTCCCTGGCGAAAATGACTTGCGTTTCTCTTGTCGATCAAAGCCAGATATACTACGAGGAGTGAAAAATTTGCCCAACTAAGCGCAAGAGGGAAACTGAAGTTTTTCTCTAAGTGGAGGTCCATTCCTTGCATCGAGATGAAATGATTTGTTACACAGGAACACCATTATCGACCTTGTGTAGAGTAACTTTGCCACAGGAACACTATTCTCAAACTGGTGAAAGTAAGTCAGTGTATCACGCATTAGCACCCGCGAAAGCACGTTGCTGTTAAACGTTTCACTGAGACTATCCTGTTTTGGGCATTTTCCAAAGGGTTGGTGGATACGAAGTGACATTTTTGACCTGCTTTTGACTCTTGTCAGGATAAATATTGTGTCGGTGGTGAAGGTAAGCTCAGGGGTTGCCGGAAATGTACAAATGAAACTGAATAAGTACAATTCAAATGTGACAAGTCAGTTTGAACTGTTGAAAGTTCGAATCGTAAAACGTCCCAGCCTGTAAGATATGGCCGAGAAAAAGAATCCTGGGTTTCGTAGGTCTACTTAAATAAGAAGGAAAGAAGGGGGCTTTGTAAATATTTTGTCAGAAAATTACTTCTGAGGGGATATATTAGTAATTGTAGCTAAAATCAAAAGCTGGCAATTGATCGTAGTTACTTTCTCACTGAAGGCTGAAAAAGTATGAACCATTTTCCAGACGAAAATCTTTGCTCTCGCTCTTTATAGCGTTGGGTGAAATGGAAAGTCGATATCCAGTAGATCGATGGGATATCAAGGTCGTGGAAAAACGCAGACAAGTTAAGTATAAAAGAGAATGGCTGATCTCTTGTTGTTTTCCTTGGTTTCCTTTTAAAATTAAAACCCTTTTAAATGACATTCAGGCAATTTTGACAGACCACACGTTTCTGCTGTAATTTTCCCGGCAACTTTCTATGAAGAAACAATTTTGTTCGTGACTTTTTCTTCACTTCACTCCGGTTTCTGGTCGGTGCCATTCGGATTTGTTCGAAACACGTGTTCGAGCTGGCGCGTAATGAATGCATGTAAACAACAGAAAACCCACGACAAATATACAGGTTTCGGCAGGTGGATCTGTCAACTAACCAATCGAAGAAGGGCATTGAACAATATCTTACACGCTAAGTAACAGGAGAGATCATTGTTTGAACCTGCAAAACAAGAAAATGCTTCTATTAAACTTCCATTTTTGATTGGCAGCTTGTTACGAAAAGCCAAGTGAATTTTCAGTTCGGGCAATTTAATGGGTTCGCCTTTGTTAAATGAAGTTTTGTCATCTGCCTCCCGTGCAGTAGGTGACGAAAAGGGTGTCCTGGTGCGATCAAAAAAACCAAATCGCTTTGAAAATTACGCGCTCAAACCGAAGGTCAATTTTCAATTTTAACAGAACGCACGTAAAACCGCTGTCGTATTAAATTCTTTGGTAATGCCACTGTCAACAATGGGGCTTTTATCCTGTTGTGATTAAAAAAGATAAAAAAAAAAAAAAGCACGCCTAAGAAAACAAGACCAAAAAACTGTTTTACAGGCTAACCTAGCGTGCAGTCACCAATGATAAAAAGAGCTAGTTCGAGATTGTAGAATAAAATGATTTGCACGTGATAAAATATACGTAAAGGATAAAGAATTCCAATTCTTTTTTGTCCGTCAAAAAATTCTTGTCAGATGTTCTTTGTTCTCTTGTCATGTTTACAAAACATTTTAAACTGTCAACTGCATTTTTTCCAGGAGGGGAGGCCCTGGTGTACCACCAGGGTGGGGTGGCCGGCTGGCTGAGTGATTGTCGCCTCTTTAGGGCATTATCACATATAAGACAAATAGGTATATTTTGTGAAGTGAGGCGTTTAATTTGTTAGAGGTCGTTCTTGTTTGGGACTCTCTTTTCTTTTTATTCGCATCCACCAACAAATTCAATCTTGGTTTTGGTTTAACAGCTTCTCTACAATCTGCCGGCCTAAGATTTTTGCATCAAGAAGTATAAAACAACAAGGCACTTTCCAAAAACTGACCCAGCCATGGAACATGCAAAAAAAATAGTAGTTTCCAAATAGTTTGTCCTTAAAATAGTTTACTCAGGCAGTGTTTATTTTGCAAGCACATCGCTACGCAAATGTTTTCAATCGTCCGATTTTTTCTCGTGACCGTGTAAAGTAACGTTACCCTGAAAAAAATCTAACGAATCAAAAGTTTAAGAAGAATTTCAACATCGAAGAGATTAAATTCCCAACCGTAATTTATGTTTTTGTTCTGTCGAAATATCTCAAGATAATTTTTGTCACGTTTGTGGTGTTCGATCGTTTAATATTTTAGCCGGAGGGTTTTTAACGATTTCTGCTGTTTTGTGTGTTATGTAATCGTCGCTTAATTTTTTTCGACGATGCCATTCGAAAATTCTCACGACTGCTCTTGGGACTTAACTTATTCAAAACGGGCTTTCTATTTAACTGAAAAAAGTGGTTTTTTTTCTTCAATGGAAGGAGAATAGCTCATTGTTCTTGTCACACAATAACCTCCGAAAGATGATTTGATATGCTAATGCCGTTTTTTGTATTGAAATCGTGTTTGCTATAAAAGATGTCATTTTCGCCAAAGACTTTAATGATCCAGTTATCCGCCAGACCCAGCCAAATAATCCTAATTACTCCGATCCGTTAGCTAACGAAGTTTGTGGATGGTTTGAGTTTGGGAAATGTGTTTCTTTGTCAAACTTGCCCTCCGGGTGACCTCTGTAATATATGCTACCCCCCACTCATCCGGGAACTTGCCTTAAAAGCTATCTTCTGATTGGCTGTCAGCAGGTAGTAACGTGGTGGCCAGTGAAAGCATGATATTCGTGTTCGAGTTCATCGCAAAACCTTTCGCTTATTCATCGAACAGGAATTTTTGGTCGGCCTTTTTCCATTCTTTGAGCTGTGTAGACTGCAGTTTCTGTAGGTTAGTGTTGTGTTTTTGTGTTTGACCATGTTTTAATCACGTTGTTGACCCTGTATGACATCAATTACTTCACTTGGAGCGCTTGTGAAGGGCAGCCAAAATATCCTTCGTGTTTCCCACATTTCGCTTTTGTTCCTTGACGTTGCAAACAAGCATGGACGTTACCACTTGGCGTTTGCACACTTAAATGCTGTTAAAGGGTACTCGACTTTTGAGGATTTATGGAGACTTTTTGGTTCAAACTGTTCAGGTTATCGAGGACAGGCATCAATTTGCACATATGAATCAACCAGTATAGTGAACACGAATTTTACATTGTTATTGTGGACAACTTTCCTCCACCTGGCCTGACTTGGCATGAAAGCTTTTGTTTTTCCCTGCTCGCTGCACTTGTATGAATATTTTTCTTGCTTCGTGGTTCTAACTCTCGACTGGAGGTTGTCAAAGTAATTGAATCTCGTAGTAAACGAAAACTGTAAAGATAATAATAGGTTTTGACAGGGGGAATTTTTTTATCGGGTTTGTAGTGATGCCTGAACCGGCTTCGTGCCCGTATTTCTACACGAACGCACTTTACTTCAAATTTCAAGTTGTTTAAGAGAAAGTGGCCTTTCTTTTAACGACTGCATTGCTTTTCAAGAGTACTGAACCGTTTGTTCGAAGGGTTTTGGCAGTTTAAAATAAAAATGTTTCCAAACTGGTGAGCATTCCGTAGGATAGCGGACCATGCAATGCAATTTACGGCGATGTCGTGTTACGCAAACCTCTTGTTCGTGATTCATTCATTCGTACCTATGTGTTTAGGTTGTGGAGGTGTACTTTGCCCGTTTTCCGTCGTTTTGCTTTTCCCCTGTTTACATATCGTATTACCATTAATTGACTTTCTTCTACAGTTTTCGTAGGATTAGAGTTGTTGGTCTTTAACTTAGTTCATCTTCCGTGACCTTTTCTCTTTTTCAGAACGGCTTCATTGACGGCGGCGAATAGAGTAGTCATCTTTAACAATCCACCTTCGCTTCCATGGCCCTTCAAGGAGGTTGTGTCGAAACGATCGAAAAAAGGACATGAAGATGGACATTTTGCAACGCACTGTGTAAAATTGGAGACCGGTTCTGGCTCCATCTCCGATGACCCATCATGGCGGATCCATTTCTGGGAATATTCGATGGCGTCAATAACGGCTTGGAAGATTTAGGTCTCGGCTCAACGCTCGGCACACATGGAAGCCAAGGAGGACAACTGCAGGAAAGGCTGCAGCATTCAGCGTCTTTTCCAGGATATCAATCGCAGTCGCCGTCGAACACAAATCAAACAAAGCTTCAACATTTCGATGATCGATCTTCAGGCTCTCCGTTCTTACCGCCCTCGCAGAAACTCCAGCATTTTAACGATCCGTTACTATCGTCATCGCCGCAACGATTTCACTCTATTCAGTCGTCCTCACAACAACAGTTTTCCGAATTTCGTTCACCATCACAGATAAACATGTGTTGGCCTCGTGGCCAACCGTTACGAAGCTCCCCTAATTATAGTGGATTCTCACAGGGATCTGAACAATCGCCATTTCGACAGCCATTTGGCTACGGGTTTCCGCGATCGTCTTCTCCAAGGCTTCAGCATTTCGCCAATCAATCGCCAATGAATTCCTCTCCAGATCGTTTTCCCACTGGGCCTTCACAGTCTCCTAGACTTCAGCACCAGAGCCAGTCACCTTCACTTCCTTACTCCGGCTCTTCTCCCAAAGGTACAAGCCCTAAGACTGTGGAGCCGAATCAACAACAGAAACAAAAGCAAATCAGTCCACAGCAAGCACTGTACAAACATCTGCAAGGTTCAGAAGGGAGCCAGCAGCAAATAGAGCTGGGGGGACAAAGTCGACTACAACACTTAGTATCTAGTAATGCAGGTGACATTGATCAAAGCAAACCTTCACTTTCAGGTGCAGGGGATGGAAATTTTCCTTATAATCCTTTTCAAAGTGGGTCTCGACCACCCATGGCTATGAGTCAGAATTCGCCCCAGTCCAGTTACAATTCGCAACAATTTCAAAATTCACAATATGCTGCTTTCAATGGTGGAATTGCAGGTGGAGTTGACCAGGACATGTTTACCCCAGGAAACCAGCATAATTTGGCAACTTCTCAACAGCCTGGATATCCATTCACCAACTTGCAGATGTCAGACCCTCAAGACCTGATGCAGGTCAAGACATCAGCAATCTTGCTTCAAATGCAGCGAATCCAGCAGCAGATCCAGCAAGTGCGGGAAATGGGACAGCCATCTCAAATGCAACAGTTGCAATTTCAATTTCAGCGGCTTTATCAAATCTATGCAATGCAACAACAACAAAGGGTACAGCCAAACTTTCAACCTCAGAACTATGATCAAATGAGGTTTATACAACAGCAAAGGCAGCAGGAGAAAGCCAATAGAATTGCTGTAGAAGCCATGGCTAAAGCAGCATTGCATAACAGTGATGGCATGCCCATGATGCCAGGGTTTCCACCAATGTCATCAGGCCAGCGAGTGATGGGAAATCCAACAGCAGTGAACACTGGAATGATGGATTTGACTAGGCACCCTATGCCAGCTGACCCTATTAGTCTGGGCCCTTCTATAGTTCAAAAACCAGCACCAGTACGGAGCTCACAGACTTCAAGGTTCAGTTTGAAACATTTTTTGTGTTTTGATTTCTTTCCTGTTAATTTCTGCGTGTCATCTAAGTAGGTATAGTACATTCTTTGTGTACGCCTTTAAATGTAGGGTTACAAATCTCTTTGTTGTGGAGGTAATGAGTTGATTATTATCATTAACCTAGATTTCTATTGGTGGCTCTACTGAAGCTCTGCAATCTAATTAGCAATTAGATCATGAGCCTGAGTTTTTTTTTTTTAAACAGATGAATGTGTGTGGTTAACAAGGCAGAACTAAGTTGGCTATTGCTCATAGAAAACAAGGACAAGGGGTCTTAATGTTTTCGTAAAGTTAAAGTTGAAAAACTATGATTTTATGTAGTTAAGCCAACAGTCAAGAATAATTTGCCTTTTAATGGTAAAGAAACATGTTCTATTGCGAATAGACAAAAATGGGAGAATCAGCCAGATATACAGATATCTGATAGTATTCACTGAGTATTCATTAAACTGTCAAAGGATGCACTGACATTTTCATGCAACTTTTATTGTTACAGAAACACCTTTTGTCACAATTTTAACTTGCATGACTTGAGGCCTTATTCCTAGCCTGAATACCAGGTCTTCCCAAGGGGAAGGGAGAAGGGGAAGGAATTCACCTTTGCCCTCTTTGTTCTATTTTCTTCCTGTCCCCTTAGAATAGCCTGATTCCCAGACTACCTTGTGCCTTGCATCATGCTGAAAGGGCAGAAATAATAACAATCTGATTGGCTTTGGTCTTTATTAAAATTCAGGCCACCAGCAACTGTGTTGGCAAAACCAACCCCTGTGCGGAGCAGGAAAGATTCATCTGATGCTGAACCTTCACCACCAAATTCTCCAAGCTATTTTGAAGAGGATCATGTTTCCAGTATCACTGTAAGTTTGAAAGTCTTCTTAAAATTTGACATAGAAAACTACTTTTTTTAATGCAATCTTAGCAATGGAGTTGAAAAAATATTTTGTGAATCTGATCATGGTTATTAGTATTTGTGCTATATAGTAGCTAAATATTTCAGAGTGAATTACTTCAACTTCAGAGTATAATTTCACCTTGTATACTCGACTACTTTCAGCGACGATCTCTCAGAGAACGCAAGAAGAAGACCTACAAGGACGACTTTGACTACAACTTGTCTGACGAGGAAGGGGAGAAGGAGCCTGCTGAAGGTGGCGTGCAGGCAGCATACCCAGGTGACAGTGCTGGTCAAGGCTATATACCAGTGGGACCTGAAGTTGAAGAGACAACAACAGTTGAGAAAATATTGGCCATGAGAACAAAACAGGTAGGGTTACTCATATTGTATTTTATAAAACCCAACTATGACCTGCTGAAAATTTCCAGTGTTAAAGTATTTAACCCAGTTTTTGTAGATCCACCTTTCCTATAAACTAAAAGCATGTGTCCAATTTGTTCTGTAGGATGAAGAACTTGGAAATTATGAGGAATTCTTGGTCAAGTTTAAGAACTAGTGAGTCAGAGTTTTTCCCTGTATTTAAGTGGAGTGTTGTAAAATTTTATTACAAACCATCTAACATAAATGTTGGTTTCTGTTTTCTTTCAGCTCTTATCTTCACTGTGAATGGGCAACCGCAGACAAATTGGCTAGAGGAGACAAGAGAATACACATGAAAATCAAACGATACAAAGCCAAACAGCAAAACACCATGGCCTTTTTCAGTGAGGTATGTCCATTTTTTTTAAAAAAAGAAGTTAATGAATAGGTAAACTACTTTGAATTGTTTTTTAATTTTCAGGTTTCATATCAAAACATTGTTCATTCAGCAACAAACATTGGTATTGTTTATTCCAACAGCTTGACGAAGAGCCCTTTAATCCTGATTATGTTGAAGTAGACCGTGTATTAGATATGTCTACTGGAGTTGATCAAAATTCTGGTGAGGTAAGTCACAAACTGAATAAGACACATTAATTTACACCGTGTACTCTGTGCAAAATAAATGCAATGTTAGAGGTTTGTTTGCTCCCGGATTGGATTGTTGAAATTTGACATAAAAACTTAAGTAATTATAGGTTAGCACTCATTTCAGGGAATCAGCACAGGTATAGGAAGCAAAATTTGTAACAGTCAAACAGAATATTGAGCTGCCGAACTCAGGTGTGCGTGACACAGTTGCTGTAATAAGAAGTTTGTTTTATGCCTGGGTTATCTTGACAACTTTTGAGTTTTTAAAGGATTTTAAAGGTCATGTTTATATACACACTTGGTGGTAATCTTTATTTGCTCCTAAAGATAAAATTGGCTTTTTTGGCTTACAGTTTTCAAGTCTGTGCTATCTAAATATCTTGGTATGCACATGTTTGATAGATAGTAATTATCGCGTGCTGATATTCATTGTCGCTGTCAAAGTTATTGATGTCTGCGGTAACAAGGTCATGTATTGGTTAGACAACAAAACTGGGTCACTTGTGAGACAAAAATAGACACAGTTAATCTTTGTAATCTTCCCTAAAAAAGCCATGTTTCTTCTTTACATTTCCTAATCTGCTTAGAAAAGAATACGTAATAAGCTTGTCTTGGAACAATATTGTTGCTATTTATGTAGATTTAATTGGCAGTATTTTTGCTTTTGTCTGTGTCCTGTAGTGGACTGCCAGAGAATAAAAGATTTAGTGATTAGAATCAGACACATCTTCAACAGATGTTTGAGATCATTGATTCTATTTTCTGATGACCAGTTTTGCCTTCTTTACAAAAGATTTAATTAAAATTAAAGTGTGGCTTCAAGATTTTGAAAGCTAGCAAACAGTTGTCATTTCTAAAGTGTAGATCTTTGAGTTGCAGTATTTCTATGAAAAGTTTTTTTACAGTATTTACGTACATAATATCACAAACAATTCAATTAAAACAGCGCAGATTTTTCGTTTACCAGTACAAAGGGGAGCTATTTTTTGGCTTTGTAATAAACCAGACTCCATAATTCATGTCTAAGAAATATGCAAATGTTGTAAACTTCGCCCCTTAGTGAACATGAATAATTAATTCTGATCTGCCTTTCAAGCTTAAAATATAGCATTTTTCTTCCTCTTGGTCATGAGTTTGACTTCTCTTTTGAAGAATACTTGTAATTCTTCCAGTACACCTTTTGGCCTCATCAAGAGGTGTCATTTTGTTGAAGAGGCTCTTAATTTATAGGGTGTTTTACTTTGATTTTCTTACACGCTATTGTTGTCTTGGATGTGTAAATCATAAAATATATTATTTTGATGTCAATATTACTTCTAAAGCACAATTTAGGTTAGAGAATTCACAAAACAGTTTTTCTCACATTACCTTTATTGATGAAGCCTTGACAAAATTTCCTGATTGAGCTTCAATACCACCAAGTTAGCAGCTATTTTCTTTGATGATCAGTGAATAGATTTATGTCAACAGTGGCAGCATACTCATTGACAATTTTATCTGCCATATCTGTATATGGATATCACGTTTGAGTTTCACTCCAGTGACCAGGGTCAATAAAAATACTATTCAAACACCTTTTTGAACAGTATTTCTACATTATCATATGCTATAACCCACTACTGTCAGACTGTTTTAATCAATGTGAAGTGACGCTTGTCTCGTGGGGTAATACCTTTTTTGTGTCATCTCTGAAATTGCAACTGCGCATTTCCTGCAGGTGTTTATGTTGTCACACATGCCTGACTAGACAAGTTTAGTTTACATGAGACAAGCAAATTGCTTTTTTCATGTCACTATTGTTGATTTTGTATGGTATACTTTAATATTGAAATCTTTGTCCCCTTTTGTTTGCTTTTGTGTAGAATTAGTTTTTTCACAAGGGTGTTACTTTTTTAGGTTGAACAAACAATTAAATTTATTCTTCTTCATAATTGTATGATATCTGTTGGTGTTTGGGAAGGAGGTACCCTTGTGAACATGGCATTGCAGTAAATATCAAATGTATTGCATTGAGATGGTCAACCTCCAACAGCAATTTTATGCTTATCAGACAAGTAACTGAATTACTTTTCAGAATACTTCACCACAAGCATATATTTGTTATCAAGTGTATAGCTTGTATATATTTGTCAACTCAGTCTTCCTTGATTCAAATCAGTCACACTGTGAATGAAGTGAAAGTAACTCACTCCTAACATCCTAAACTAGAAAGTGATTTGCTGTTGTATTGTAAACCTGTATGTCAGTTTCGTAAAATACCCGACTTGTTGTTTCAGGCTATAATGAAAAGGCTTTATAGGTGTAGTTGAATTTATCTCAAACGAAACTTAAAACAATGAAGTTTTCTTATCCATCAACAGGGACTACAAAGACTTTTAAAAGAGTAATAATATCTCAGAATACTCCCATTGGTTTAACTTTAGTTCTTATTGTTCACAGCTGCATAATAGTGCAGACTGGATTTAGGCTAGCTTCTCCCCCGCATCCGACAGAATTCCTACTTTCTGTTTCCTCACCTCCAGATTAGAATGGCTACCGGCAGCAGAAATTGTTATGACAGTTCAAGTGAAAGATATCTCATGCTCTAGTGTACTCTGTTGGTTTTTCCAAGTTAAAAAATATGTTTGATTTTATTCTTGGGCAGTTAAGAAATTAAAGGTTAAAAGGAAAAAAATGTGAGGGGCACTTGAGTGTTGCAGGCAAACATTTTCATTGTCAACCTGGTGTTTATGTTTATCTGCATGTCCAAATATTATGTATTAAATTAATCCATAGCAGGCAGATAGGATTAACAGAAACCGTAAATGTAAGCACTATACTTATTTATCATTTGAAGCCAAAAAACTGTACACATCAGCTTTTATTTGTACTTGTTCTTACAAAAATGTAAAGTTTAAATTTAAATTATATAGAGTAGGGGCTAGTGGAGCCAGATATCCAATTAAGGTATTATATAGATAGATAAACTGAAATATAAAATGTGACAAGATCAGGAAATTTTATAAACTTCAGGCAATTAAGCAAAGGACTAGGTTGTCCAAAAAGACTTGTTGGATGTACATTATGTTCAAGTTACACTCGGATGCAGTAAACTGTGAATAGTAGTTATGTCATTCAAGAAATGAATCTCCAATTTTTTTGTTGTTGCAGCCAATCACACACTACCTTGTGAAATGGTGTTCACAGCCTTATGAGGAAAGCACTTGGGAAATTGAGGTTAGTCACCTGAAAATGAGCTGGAAGAATTTTTCTTGCTTGTTATTATCAGTGTTTCTTTTTTTTTTTTTATCAAAGTTAAGGGACACTTGGTACTCCAAGCTGTTGTCATTTAAGAAACATAACTGAGTTAACTCACAAAACTCAAACCTTCAAGGGAAAATGAAAAATGTTTGAGCTTTCAAGAGTCCAGTTTTTAGTGGTGGATATCGCAAAGCGTAGAAACGTCTATCGTTAGGGGTAAGAATATGGAAATTGAGCACTGAGTCGAGTACAATTCAGGGAGTAATTGTGCAAATAATTTATAAATTGGACAAGTTTTCAGCCACATGTTTCTAAGATGTTTAAATTTATTGTTGTCAAGAGACCCATTTCTGATTATGTAACAATGGTTGAATTTATCCTAAAGACAAATTATTTGCAGCCAAATTTATATTAGGAGACAATTTATCCATTTGAGATGATTTATCCATCTAAGACAGAAAAAGTATAAATCTGGTGTTAAGATGAATTATGTGCTCAAATTTGTCTGCAGGTGATTGGTCTGTTTTGATGAATGAGCTGAAGATGAATTTGGGCACATACTTCATCTTTGCTGACCATTCATTGGTCTCAAGCAGACGTATTACCATTCTCAGACGGATAATTCATCTCAGACGGATTATTTGTACCTAGCATAAATTCGACCAGTAAGTCCATTATACTCATGGCGTGTCCTTTTCTCCAACAGGCTGATGTGGACGAAGCTAAAATCAAACAGTTTCAAAAGCTTAAGGAACTCCCACCAATGCAACTAAGACAAGTAAGTTCTATTGTAACAAAAACTGTGAATCTAGCAGAGAATAAATCTAACAGTTTTCCTTCAAAACTACCCAAACTTATTATAAGTCATCAAGTTGAAACAAGAAACAATAACTGTAGGAGTGTTGAGAATGTGCTTTGAATGTGTTCTTAATTAACATATTGAAGTTGTATAAGTTCATGTCTCTGTTCTTAGATTTAGATCCATTTGAGAAGATCAAACACATGAACCACTGTTTTATCACATTTCCAAATGCCTCAAGCTTCAAAAAAAAAGTCCAATCCTTGTCATCCTTGAACGTGGGATGAAACATGTTTGATACTGTATATTACATAAAAACAACCAGGCCATTTGTTTAGCTGCTTTCTTGGACTCTGTGTTGAAATGAGTCTTTTTACAAGCCAATTCAGTTAAAATGTGTTTCATCTAATTTGTTCAATTTCTTTCAAATAAAAGATGGTCATTTACACATAATAAGTTTTAGGTAAAGAGGCAAAATGACCTATTTTTGTGTACAAGCTATAGGGCCTATGTATACATGTATAGTTGGTACTTCAGCTGATTCTGTAACATGAAGCAATAAAAATTCACAGGACTGTTACACATATTTATCTGATATGCGTCTAAATTCTTCAGCTGTAGTTCTACAGAACATCTGCTTCAACCAAATGAAATCAACTCGCCAAAACGTTCTCTTTAAATTCAATATAAACCTTTTTTTCTGTGTAGTTTCGTCCCCGCCCATACCCTCACGAATGGTGTAAAATGGACACAACACCAGTGTACAAGGATGGTAATACATTGCGTGATTATCAACTAGAAGGTGTAAACTGGCTTACCTTTTGCTGGTGTAACAGGTAAACAATTCAACTGATGCAATCATAGTCTACTGTAGTTCCCTTTATGCTGATTATGTTTGTAAACATTTACTTTGCCTTGCTTAAGGTGGCTCCCTATAGTTTTACGATCGCATGCACGCTGAGGATGAAAGCTCAAGTAATCTGCGCTCGCTCGAAGCAAAACCTCAGTGTTTTTTGATATTTTCTGACGTCAACATGAGCACAAAAAGCAAAACTGACAGTGAATTTTCTCACGGTTCCTTTGGTGAAATTCCCTAAAATTTGGCAGATTGGTAGTAAATATTTTACTTTAGTCAGGGCTCGTTTTTCAGGGAAATCTATAAGACCAGATTTTTTGCAGCAGTAAAAGACATAAATTTGAAAAAATCGAAAAAACTGCCTTTACAAACCCGACTTTTTTTGTGTTTGAAATTCATATCCTGCTGGAAGTGATGCGTTGTAAAAATTTTGGAAGATTTCACCTTAGAAAATTCAAGAAAATCACAAATAAAGCCACACAAACAGTAAAAAACACATTTGTTTGGGCATTCATAATTCAAGACTTAAGGCCAAAATTTTAACAGAGATGATAGCAAAACGCTATTTAATCACTCATTATTACATGTAATAAGTTTGAAAGGACTGGGTGTGAAAGTGAATGCGAAAACAGCATTCAAAACATAACACTTGTGCGAGCAACGCCATAAATGATTACCCTATGGAGCCACCTTAAGCGTTTGATTTGTCACTTTATTCATGAAAACTATGTATATGCTTTGTGGCTTTGAGGAAAATCCTTGTATTGTGGGTGTTAGAGTTGATTGTGACTCTAATAGATTTTAACCTTAGGTTTTGTAAGCTAACAGTCAACTTTGTACTCTTTTTAATCTAGGCAAAACTCCATTCTAGCTGATGAAATGGGTCTTGGTAAAACTATCCAGTCGATCTCATTTCTTATTGAAATGCAGGTGAGTGTTTTACAGTTGAAAAGAAGATTCCAACTTAAGTTATTTCTTCAAACACTATAGTATAGATTTATCAGATTTGGAAATGTCAGTCAGATGGTAGATGCAGTCATGCCAATGACTAATTTTTGAAATGAACTAACACTCCACTGAAATCCAGATCGTCTGACTGCAATATTTTACAATGAATGTGATTAAAATTACAATGTAGAACATGTCTTGCTCTGTGACAAGCTAACTTCTAGCTTTTTTCATGATCATATTTTCATCTCCAAAATTCTCTTAAGCTGTGTGAGTGACCAGCTATGGTCATTTGTACATGACTGTACAAAAGCTGAGAAAATACTTGTTGTTTGCAGCGGTATGGTGTCAGGGGGCCATTTCTTGTGATAGCACCACTCTCTACCATTTCTAACTGGCAAAGGGAATTTGAGACTTGGAGTGACATAAATGCTGTTGTCTATCATGGAAGGTCAGTTGCTCTTCGTGTACAGGACAAAGTAATATTATAATTTACAACAACGGGAATACACAAATAACGTTACATATTAAATTGTTGGAGTGTAGCGGACAAAGTATTGCCCTTTTGTCTTTTTTTGAGGATGTGTTTCTGATACATTTTGCTTTAAATCAATCATAGTATTTTTACTATTGTTCTGAACTCTAAAGAGTAACTGTGAAACTAACATAATTATGGTCTTCATTTGTCTTTCTAGTGCATCAAGCCGTCACTTGATTCAGGAGTATGAATTTTACTTCAGAGATGAAAATGTAAGTTATATTTGCTTACTTGGTGTTCGTACATGTACATCAGCACATGGTAGTGATACCTGATGCTACAACCATCCATGTAAGAATTCTTCAGTCAGTCATGAGATATTCTGATGTACATGTACAACTGGCACAATCAGATAATGAAATTCAAAACTGGAGAGGGATTTTTTTTGAAGTTATTTTAGCCTATATACTAATTCAGAGGGCTAGGTGGTGAAAACGTTAGCTCAAGATCAGGGGTATTGAACAGGCAACTTTTCATCCAACTTGCTGTATCTCAGTCAATATGCATTTTGGAAGATTACCTTTATTCAGCTTTTCTTTGGGAAACTAACTTTGTGAACATTCTTAATTTTGCGTGCTAATAGAATTGCTGGCTTGAGTGAAGAGGATAATTTGCTATTTGTTTCTGTTTCCTAGGGCCAACCCTATTCTGGATTGTTTAAGTTTGAAGCAATGATTACAACATATGAAATAATCATAGGTAAAAACATCTGTTACATAAACATTGATGTTATATGGCTTGCATTGTGCTTACATGTAGATGTACCTTCTGCAAAAGTCAGATGGTTTGATTTTAGATAGTTCAGGTGAAGTTACTTGAGAAATCTGTTAAAAGTTACATTAAAATGACAAGATGGTTTTGCTCTGTTATCTCTCAAACTAGCTGACAACATGCAATTGAGCGCAGTGCCCTGGAGATGTGTGGTAATTGATGAGGCTCATCGCTTAAAGAATCGCAACTGCAAACTACTGGAGGGCCTCAACAACCTGAGCATGGTATACTAAATGATGACTTCTTTTGTCTCTGATTTAATAACAGATTTAGCTTGTGAAATGACCATCTAGTTTACCAGTTGGCTAGAAACTAGTTCTAATGGAAAATACCAGCATAACAGTCACAGCTATTTTTAATGTTTTCTTAAAATTGTACCATCTTTGTTCATGTAAAATTTAATTGTTTGAAGTGGAAGCTTGATGCCTGTGTGACAATATTGTACGATGTAGACATTCTTTTGTAAAGAATAATGTGTCCTGCTTGAAAAAGTAATGTAGGCATTCAGTAGCACAACTAAAATACTGATATTTTATTTTAAGGAACATCGAATACTGTTGACAGGAACCCCACTGCAGAACAATGTAGATGAGCTGTTCAGTCTTCTGAATTTCCTAGAACCAGCTCAGTTTCCCTCTCAAGTGGCTTTCCTTATGGAGTTTGGTGACCTGAAGACGGAGGCTCAAGTCGAGAAACTGAAACAGGTGTGTTGATAATGTAAGACTTATTTTATAACCCATTTTCATTTGAACTTTGAGAATCATTTGACTTCTTAATTTATTTTTGTCCTTCTGTTCTATGATCAGTTCAAAAAAGTAAGAAAGTGCATGATTTTGAGAATAAGGAAAGTTGTTTTTTCTTTTGATATGAAGTCCAATCAGTTGTAATCATATTTTAATCATATTTGGACAATGATCTACAAGAGGATGCCATGTTTAACCAATGAGTGTTTTAGAGGAGTGAACTATATCATAAAGTGATGAAAATTTCAGATATCTATCTGTTTGTTTTCCAAACACATCAGCCTACCAGAAAGGCAACAGCTGCTGCGCTTGCAATTTTTTTTGATGTATTTGTGTTCACTAATATATTTTTGTTTGCTTGTTTTTCTGACTAGCTTTTGAAACCAATGATGTTGAGACGACTTAAGGAAGATGTTGAGAAAAACATTGCTCCCAAAGAAGAAACTATCATAGAGGTGGGTTTCTAATTCTTGTCTTGGTCTATTGCAGTTTTAGCTTATGGCCAAGGCCTGTCTTAGTAATACTCTTATTTTAAAACTTTCCTATTAGGTTGAACTTACCACCATCCAGAAAAAGCTGTACAGAGCCATCCTGGAAAGAAACTTTGCCTTCCTAAGTAAGGGAGTGTCATCCAGTGCAAATGTACCAAATTTGATGAACACCATGATGGAACTCCGCAAATGCTGTAATCATCCTTTCTTGATCAATGGTGCTGAGGACAAAGTGCTTTCAGAGCATAACTTGTCACTGGTTGAAAAGACAGCCAAACACGCTAACATCATGATTGAAGCCTCAGGAAAGCTTGTCCTTATTCACAAACTTTTACCCAAACTGAAATCCAGTGGACACAAAGTCCTTATTTTCTCACAAATGGTTCGTTGTCTTGACATTCTGGAAGACTACCTTGTTCACATGAGATATCCATATGAGAGGATAGATGGACGTGTCAGAGGAAATCTCCGACAGGCAGCTATTGACAGGTTCAGCAAACCCGACTCAGATCGCTTCGTCTTCTTGTTGTGCACACGAGCTGGAGGGTTAGGAATTAATTTGACAGCTGCAGACACTGTTATCATTTTCGATTCAGACTGGAATCCTCAGAATGACATTCAAGCTCAGGCAAGGTGTCATCGAATTGGACAGAGCCGGTCTGTCAAGGTGTACAGGCTCATCACTAGGAATTCTTATGAGCGTGAAATGTTTGACAGGGCAAGCATGAAGCTAGGCTTGGACAAGGCTGTGCTGCAATCCATGAATACCAAGGAGAATGCAAGTAACAATGTAAGAACTTACAAGAAGGGTAGCTTTCAATAATTTATTTTGAATAACTCATCAAAGATAATTTTAAATGATTTTATGGTTTTGCGTCTGCTGCACACTGTAGTTTTTTGTTGTTGTTGTTTTCCAAGAAAACCTTGTTTAAACTGTTTCACCCAATCAAAGTAAACTACTATCAAACTATTAGGAGCAACAGCAAAGTCAGTTACACTTATTTCTGTCCGTGTGGACAACTGTGAACTGTAATGCTGACCTTGGAACTTGGTGTAATAAACTGTTTCTATGATGATGATTTGGTGTGAAAATTGATCTATGAAAATTTTGTTGTATGTTAATTCAAGAGTGGTCAATTAGAGTAAACTTATTGATTACCTTATGCTCTCCAGCAATCACTGTCCAAGAGAGAGATTGAAGACTTGCTAAGAAAGGGTGCCTATGGTGCGATCATGGAAGAAGAAAATGATGACAGTTCAAAGTAAGTGTCTTCTCATATTGTAATGTATGTGGTTTCTTAGTATATTATCTGTAAAATTGTAACCTCTTATACCTTTGCCTCAGCAGATTTTGTGAAGAAGACATTGATCAGATTCTTGAGCGTCGCACACAGGTCGTCGTACTGGAGTCTCAGGGCAAGGGATCAACTTTTGCGAAGGTGTTAAAAGTGTTTGATCATTATTTAACTTGTGGTAATGATTTATGTCCAAGCAAACGGTTTGTGTAATATGGAATTAAATGAAGGACTGAAGATGTTTCTGTCAGTGATTTGTTTTCAGTTACCTATCAGAGTCCCTTGGTTGGTACCCTGTCCATTGTAACTGGTGCCCCTATCAAGTGGTGTGCCCATATCAGGGTGTTAGGCTTCCTTGCCTTCAGTCCCTACAGTACTTGCTTGTGGTGGATATAATTATAACCTTCTGTCCTTTTTGGGTTCTTGTAGGCAAGCTTTGTGTCATCCAAAGGTGAAGAGGAAATTGATATTGATGACCCTGACTTCTGGCAGAAATGGGCCAAAAAAGCTGAATTGGATGTTGATCTCATGAACAAGGTAGGCCATACAGCTGAAGTTTAAGGCCTGCCCATATATTAATGGGTTGATTACAGGTTGCCCCAAGAATATGAGTCATATGAGGGTCAAGACAGGTATTGTGGAAGTAAAACACTTTCGCCCCCCCCCCCCCTCCCCTTGAAGTTAGATCTTTTGCTTTCTTTCTATTATCTAGACCACAGTGCTGGGTTGTTCAAAGCCCAATTAAGCTAACCCAAGATTAGCGGGAATTGTGATTACAGTTTCATAACTTTTGAGTGAGATGTTCTCTATGTATATTGTTTGTCCTTCAGTTTTGAGTTTGAATAATCTCAAACTACACTAAACATAAGCAGTGGAAAGTATTTTCATAAAAGAAAATAAATACTTCAGTCAGCTTTTAATCCTGGGTTACAGTTAACAGACTTTCAAACAACCTGGCCCAGATCTGGAATAAAATGTGTGCTGCTGAACTTAAATTGCTCAGTCACATACTAAATGTATCTTGAAGTTTTGGTACAGTTAAAAATATGCCCTATCTTTTGGACAGTTTCTTTCACCTCAAATGGGTTAGTTCCTAAACTATGCTATAAACATTGCAATTATGATGTATTGGTTTGTAAGTGACTTTCAAACTTTTTGAGGGAGAAAGTAATCAAATAACATGTTTTTCAGGATAATCGCATCATTGATGCCCCACGACAAAGGAAACAAACTAAGAGATATGGCAATGAGGATGGGGATTTTGAACTGTCAGACTTGGACCTTGAAGAAGATGATGAAGCACCTTTGCCACGGAGATCATCTTGGACCAGAGTGGAATGTTTCCGAGTGGAAAAGAACCTGCTCATTTATGGGTAAGCTGTTTGATGTACCTATAGATGTTTCGTACCCAACCAAGTAAAATAGAAAACACAATGGTTTCAAAAGTTCAAATCTATGTGAAATTTAAACCACACCAGACTTATTATGTTAGCATTATGAATAAACGAGCTGTGTAAATTAGATCAATATCTGGCATTTTATCAACATAACTATTGTTGACATCCATTGATTACAATATTCTTTGCTCTTTTTTAGCTAAAAACTGCTTTTATTCTTTGTGTTAGTCAACAGATGTTAAGAATATTTGCTTTATCCCGTATAATTGTTTAATATCTATTGTTTATCGATTTAGCTGGGGACAGTGGAAAGATGTGATTGCTTCTGGAAGATTCAAGACCAAGGTCTCAGAAAGAGATGTTGAAGCAATTTCCCGCACCATACTGGTCTATTGTCTCCACCACTACAAAGGGGATGAGAAAGTAAAGGGTTTTATTCGAGATCTCATCAAGGCTTCTGCCACCAGAGAAAGACTACCCAGTGAGGAAAGAGATGCCACTTACACTCCTTTACCAGCAACAGGCAAGACCAAGACAAGAAACAAGAAGGGCAAGACTACAAACAAGAACAAGAGTGCCATTGCTCTTCTTGAAGTCAGTAGTGAGTGGCGAACATGTGATCCAGAGACTCTTATATTAGATGAAGGGTACAAGAAGCATTTACAACACCACTGCAACAAGTAAGATTGCATGTACCTTTCCTTTCTACTGAGATTTAGAATTGGAATTAGTTTAATTTTCTCAATTGGAGAAACCTTTCAATTTATGTTTTTCTAAGAGATGTCACCGCAGTTACTGCAATCATGCAGTGCATGGAGCTTATGTCAATGCCATGTTTAACTTTGCCTCACATTTACAAATTTTTTTTTTCTCTGAAAGGATTCTCTTGCGTGTCAAACTGCTTTACTTTCTGAGACATGAAGTGATTGGAAAACTTGGACCCAAGATAAAGGAGGGATGCAATGCAAGGTTTGTTATTGTGAATTCTTTTTCCTTTGATTTGTATGGAGCGCTTGGTAAGCTGGGACTTTGGGGAAAGTGCCTATGTTGTGGTTCAAATTTGGTATTTTCTTATGTTTAGGTGTATGGTAATATAATTATTGTAATGTATATGAAACAAAGGAAGATACCAAGTTGTACCAAGGATAATATTGAACTACCACAGTTACTTTGTATTTTTTTTANAAATAGTTAAATTTTAAAAGCGCGGTTTTAAGATCTAACAGATCTTCTTGTTACATATCATTTTGGTGATGATATATAGTAAATGAAATGTTTTGAAGTACTTGTCAAGCCAAGAGTGATGTTGCCTCTCTATAGCAGAGGGAAACGTTAGGATAGGTTACTACTTTTATTTGCTTCTAGGACCAAAATGTCTCTTATTTGTCTTGTTTACTTAAGAATTTTTTATTTCATGCCAGATGATCTTTTGCAACAAATGGTCACACGATGTCTAAAACAAAGAAACAGCCAAATTTTACTGGTTGAAGTTGCTTTGCTCTGGAGGCTTCACATTCTTTTGCCATCCTACATGGTGGATTTTGTACCATGAGCCTGTTTGTTGCAAAAGGCCCATTATTATTATTATTATTATTATTATTATTATTATTATTATTATTTTTATTGTTATTGTTATTATTATTGTTATTATTACATTGTATACCTTACATTGTGTACCTTGCTTAAACATTTCACACTGCTTTGTGCTGCAACTGATGAATTCTGAAACTCTTTTCTCATATCATATTATTTTTCATATCGTATTCAATTTCTATGATTTTTTTTGTTTCTTTAGTGATTTGGACATAGTCATCTACCCTCCTGAAGGAGACCCCCCAGCCACCTGGTGGGATGAGGAATGTGATAAATCACTTTTGGTTGGGGTCTACAAGTATGGTGAGTGTTTGTATGTTAGCCAAAAGCCAACCAGAAGCTGAATAATGATGCTAATGAAGTCCTATTTTGATTGTTATACCTTCAGGTGACTATATTTTTGCATTTGGCAACTGGTTTTTTTTTTCTTTTTGTGGTTGCCAAAAGGTGACTAGATGTTTTTTTTCTAACTTGTTGATAAGCAATATTCAAAATGGAGGGTATGTGCCAATTGACAGCAAAGCAGGCAATGAGCAAGCAAGTGTAGGCAAAATGCAAATAAGGGGGTAACCATGGCAACCTCCCACAGGCCACCTCCCCCTAGCACCTGTCACACTGAATTCTCAGTGGAGAATAATTGTACCTACCTGGACACAAGGGCCCACCATGAACCAAGAAGCAGGTGGGAGGGGGCAAACCAAAGGCAAAGCGACAAAGCTATGCAGAGCAAGACCAAGGGCAAAACTGCACAGCAATGGCACAACTATGCATGCCCGTGGCGATCACCTGCTGGCCAACAGCAGATCTCCTAGTTAACTCTGATTATTGATAATCTCATTTAATATATATATCTTTTAAAAGTTTTAGCCCTGGTTAGAAAAGCTTTTTGTGCTTTGAACTGAGACTGAATCGTGCAAAGAGCAATTGATCCCAATTTAGCACTAATTCAGTGGTCGTTGATTTGCAATATCTTTGGTTGTAGGCTTAAGGTTGTCATTAGAAAACCAACCTGCCTCATTATTTGTTCCATTACTTATCAGGTTATGAGCATTACAAGACAATGCGAGCAGATCCCAGCTTGTGTTTCCTGTCAAAAGTTGGTCTTCCAAGCAATATTGCTGGGGAAGCCACTGACCCAGATGATAGGTAAGAGTAATTCCACTATTGAAAGGATGGCTCTTGTTGTTTGAATCCTGCTGTTTTACAGTGTATATCAGAAAAGTGTGAATGGCAGTACTTAGAATTATTTGTGGAATATTTATTAGTAAGGGAAAACCAATAAGGTGTGAGATGAACAGCTGCAAACCCTAATAATCATCATGATGGCTTGTTCTACTGTTTAACTAATCACAGTGCAAGTTATGTTTCAAGGTGAAATCAAAGTGTCAGTGCTTTATGGTTTTCACAAGATATTATTTGGTTAATTTGTTTTTCACTCTGTTCAATTCAAAGTTGTCAGGCAAGATGCACCTGCCAGGGGAAAACATAATTGCTGCGGAGCGAGCGTAGCGAGCGAGCAGCAACATAAACGGGATTTAAGAAGAATATGTAAAAGGGGATCCAAATTCTCGAATTCATCACTTTTTACCAGAATGCATCTTATTTAACCAGAATGCACTGCGCCGCTTTTTACCAGAGTGCGTTGCGCCA